ACCCAGGGGAGCAGCCGAGGTCCCTGTGGCCAGTGGCTAATGTGCCAGTGGTTGGGGAAAAAGGCAGGGTCTGTGTTTCATCCATTCGTCCACGCTGGCCCCGGCGATCCTCTCCTGTGCGTTACAGTTTCTCTATATGCCTTCCCGTTGTGAGGGTGAGGAGAGGAAGGAGGAGTGGAGAGGAGAAACAGAACCAGGAGAGACCAAAAAGAAAAAAGCAGCTGGCCGCTCCCACCCCCTCCCTCTCCTGCTCCTGGTTAATTAGGGAGGTGGGGCGTGCGTGATACATCCTTATTCGGAAGCATCCTTATTCCAGTGGTAGCCCCAGGAAGTTGTCTGCTGTAGTTTTAGAAAAACAGGCCTTTGACCATCACATGTTCAGTCTTGTAAGAAAACCACCCTCCGTCTGGACTAATTCATATAGTGCATACATGTATTTGTGCCACTATCTTTCCCCTGGGCCTCTTCTAGGGAGCTTAGCAATTTTCACCTCCCTTTAACCATTTCTGTACTACCGTTTATTATAGAAGTATACGTGCTACCTGTCATCACAATCTGAATATTTTATTATAATTATTTCTTCATATCCCATCTCCCCACCGAGACGATAAACACCCTGAGGGCAGAACCCTGGATTATTTCTGTGTACTGCCCCCTCCTCACTCTGTGTAATTAATGGATTCTATGTGGTAGGTCGTTTTTTGCTGTTGTTGTTTTGATAACAGTTTTATTAAGAGGTAATTAATAGACAATACAATGCAGCCATTTAAAGTGCATGTTTCAATGTTTTTTAATATATTCACAGAGTGCGCACCACAGTTGTAAACATTTTTATCATCCCCAATAGAAACCCTTTCGCTATCACCTGATTCTCCCCAACCCCTCCAGCCCCAAGCAACCACTATTCCACTTCCTGTCACTAGGGATTCGTCTCTTATGAATATTTCATATAAATGGAATCAGACAATATGCGATCTTTTGTGACTGGCTTCTTTCACGTAGCTTAATGTCTTCAAGACTCATTCATGTTGAGGTGTGTATCAGAAATTCATTTTTTATGGCCAAATAATATTCCCTTGTATTAATATACCACATTTTGTTCATTCATCAGCTTACGGACATTTGGGTGTTTGTGTAATGTCATGTCATGTCATGTCATGTCATGTCATGTCTTGATGTAATGTAATGTGTATGCCAAGGAGAATATGAAAGTTGAGGCAGATCTCGCAGGGCCTTGTGGGCCATAAGCAGAAGATTAAACTTTATTCCAGAGTCAGTGAGAAGTATTCAGTTTTAAGCTCAGAAGCCAAGGTCCTATCTATACGTCATCCCTCTGGTTGCAACGAAGGGTTCGTGTTGGAGTGAGCGAGAGCTAAACTGGAGACATGACAATCAGCTGGGGATGAGAAGCGTCTGAACTAAGACCAGAGGCAGAGGAAGGGCTAGGGGGGAGAGACGGGAATTAAGGAAAGATGGAGGGGTCACCAGGAGGTCGTGATGAATGAAGGTGGGGTGGGAACCATGTTGAGTCTCCACGGATTCAGCATGGACCACAGGGTAGCTGGAGATACGCTTCACCAACATTGACTCTAATAAAACGGGGTTTGGCCAGGGTGAAGACAGTTTTCTAAAGGGGAAAAAAAATGAATCTTCTCCACTTCTCCATTTTGGTGTTTTTTTTTATAGTTTTCCTGTTTTCTTTGGATCAAGGCCATTTTCATTTCATCAGACCTGCCATTCTTTCGACAGAAGCAGCTCCAGCAGTCCTGTCTATTTATTTAATTTTTATAAGCATTTCTTTGAGCCAAACCGAGGACAATGTCTGGAAGCAAGAGCTCAAAGGCTCCACTCCAGCAGTTTTAATACTTCAAACTCCAATTGATGGGAAGGCTATTTGCGTCCCTCTGTGCCTTTTAAAGGCGGTGTGTTTGTGCAATTTCCCGGACCCGTCAAGTTTGCCCAAGGGCTTGCAAATGCATGTTCCTTTCATATTTCATGAGTTCTATTTGCCTGACTTCAAAAGCAGGGCCTTGTGTGCCATACTCAGAAGATTAAACTTTATTCCAGAGTCAGTGAGAAGTATTCAGTTTTAAGCTCAGGAGCCAAGGTCCTATCTATACTTCATCCCTCTAGTTGCAATGAAGAGTTCGTGTTGGAGTGAGTGAGAGCTAAACTGGAGACATAACGATCAGCTGGGGATGAGAAGTGTCTGAACTAAGACCAGAGGCAGGGGAAGGGCCAGAGGGGGGAGATGGGAATTAAGGAAAGATGGAGGGGTCACCAGGAGGTCGTGATGAATGAAGGTGGGGTGGGAACCATGTTGAGTCTCCACGGATTCAGCATGGACCACAGGGTAGCTGGAGATACGCTTCACCAACATTGACTCTAATAAAACGGGGTTTGGCCAGGGTGAAGACAGTTTTCTAAAGGGGAAAAAAAATGAATCTTCTCCACTTCTCCATTTTGGTGTTTTTTTTTTATAGTCTTCCTGTTTTCTTTGGATCAAGGCCATTTTCATTTCATCAGGCCTGCCATTCTTTCGACAGAAGCAGCTCCAGCAGTCCTGTCTATTTATTTAATTTTTATAAGCGTTTCTTTGAGCCAAACCGAGGACAATGTCTGGAAGCAAGAGCTCAAAGGCTCCACTCCAGCAGTTTTAATACTTCAAACTCCAATTGATGGGAAGGCTATTTGCGTCCCTCTGTGCCTTTTAAAGGCGGTGTGTTTGTGCAATTTCCCGGACCCGTCAAGTTTGCCCAAGGGCTTGCAAATGCATGTTGTTCCAGGAGACAAATGACTTATGTCTCACCTGTTGGAACCCTCTTGTGCTTGCAGGCGGCCCTGGCGGGAGGCACCACCATGATCATCGATTTTGCCATTCCTCAGAAAGGCGGCTCCCTCCTCACAGCCTTCGAGACCTGGCGGAGCTGGGCGGACCCCACGGTCTGCTGCGACTACAGCCTGCACGTGGCCGTGACCTGGTGGAGCGACCAGGTGAGCCGCCCGGGGGCAGCTTCTTTTCAGTTCCCTAGTCCTCGCTCTGTGCAAGACCAAGAAACTGGCAACGTCTAAACGCGAGGAACTGGTGGACGGCTCAGGGTCAGAACTGGAGGGAAGATGTGTCATCGCCTGCTCTTTGGCACCTTTTGAAGTTTGATTCCTGTGAAGTATTGTCAATTTCCAAAACTAAAATTTAAAAAAATCACATAGAGATGATAGCGAAAATCCTTCATAATAATTCACAATAGCCTTTCCTAATATTAAGTTCATGACATGTAATTTTAAATAGAACTGATCTCCCACCCTGGCCGGTGGTTAGAGCGTCAGCCTGCACATGAAGGGTCTCAAGGTTCAATTCCCGGTAAAGGACACAGGTTTGATCCCCAGCCCGGTCAGGGAGCATGCAGAAGGCAAGTAATTGATCTCTCTCTCTCTCTCTCCTCTCTCTCCATCTCTCCCTTCCACTCTCTCTAAAAATTAATGGAAAAAATATCCAACAAAAAGTATTGGTCTCTCTTTTCCTCAAATTCAACATTTCCTGACTCCTTTAAATAGTATTTTTCCACAGACCAGAACTTTAATTAGAACTGGTTAATTTATGGAAATAAACCAAGGACACTCCCATTTAAAACTGGATGTCTCCATTCCCACACCCCCCTTCCCTCCCCCACTCTTGTGCACTGGAAAGAGAAAGGAGAACAGACGGGAATGTTTTCTGGGCCTCCTCCCAGCTGTCCCCTAACCGGTGCCCTTTCTGCAAAGCTGTGCTAATCTCACCAGCTGGTCCGATCGTATCATGACAGAGCTTAAACCAGCCTTCCGCATCTTCTAATTACTTAGGCCGTTGCAGAAACGACCACCAGATTCGGATTAGGAAACCAGCTTTGAGGGATGTTAAAATGTGTTCATTTCTCCCCGTGTGAACTTGTATGCGTGCTTTAGAAGACATTTTTACTTGCGATTTAAATCAACAACATGTTTTTCGATATTGGACTTAATTCAGAGGTCTTTTTGCCAGGAAGCGTTCACAAGGCCGACTTTATTTGACGTTACCAGGTAACTTGGCTCCCACCCCACCCCCTAAAAACTGGGCTTTAGACACCAAGTTAATATAAAACAAGTCATCAGTTTTTAACAGGGAGATCAGCAAATATACTAGCAAGGTTCATAGTTCACAGCTAAAGTTAATTTTTCTCCAAAAATGCCGTTCAAAGCGATGCATCTGATCTCTTTTGCTTTTAGGTCCTCCTGCCTTCCTCATTTCCTCCCTCCCTCCCTTCCTCCTTTCCTCCCCTCTTATGTTATTGGAGCAAAAGTGATGATATTGACCCTTACCCGTGCTTCTCACCCCTTCACATGCCAATGGTCACCTGGTGAATATTGTGAAAACACAGATTTTTGTTCCGTACATGTATCAGTTTGCTAGGGTTGCTGTAACAAAGTACCACAAACAAAGGGGGCTTACACAACAGATATTTTTTTACTAGAGGCCTGGTGTGCGAAATTTGCGCACGGCAGCAGGGGGTCGGGGATGGAGGGGAAGGGGGGTGGGTATCCCTCAGCCCGCACTGCACCCTCTCATAATCTGGGACCCCTCAGCTAGGTTCCCTAGGCCTGGCCGGCGATCAGGGCCTAACGGGGCTTTCCTTCTCCTGGCTGCCGGCAGCTGGGCCTGCCCCTGCCCCTGCCACTGGTTGCCATCTGTGCGGCTCGGCCCCCTTCTCCCCACCACCAGTCACCTCCCTCTGAGGGTGACAGGCATGGAGTGGGATCACTTGGCTGGCCTGGGCCTCCTTCTGCACAGCGATCATGGGGCAATGATGGGGCCCCCCAACCAATCGCATTGCACCTGCCTTGGCTGGCCTGGTGCCAGTCCGTGTCATAGCATGGTCATTGGGAAGGTCATCCGGATGGTCGTTCTGCTGTTTGGTCATTTGGTCGACTTGCATATTAAGCCTTTATTATTATAGACTAGGGGCCCAGTGCACGAATTCATGCACCTTGAAACGAACTGTGGGCTGCGAGGCTGTGGTGGGCATAAGGGTGGGCCTTGGCCCATCCTCCATGCCCCTGCCCAGCACCTCCCGCCACGGCCCTGGTCCCCTGTCTGCCCTCAGCCCCACTCCTGCCACTGCTGTTCCAACGTGCTGACAGCGCCAGCCCCACTCTCACCTGCTGACAGTGCAGAGTGATTGGGGCCGGTCCCAGCAGTGGGTGCGAGCAGGGCCGGCGCTGTCAGCGGGTGCGAGTGGTGGCTGCTGCCCTGATAGCTCCTCAGGAGCAGAGGGAGATGGAGAAGCCCTCAGGGGCAATCAGGGCGGGCAGCCACTGCTCACACCCACTAACAGCACTGAGCAATCGGGGCTGGTGCTGGGCGCCGGCAGCAGGTACAAACGGCAGGTCTGGGGCAGGTGCCAGCAGCAGGTGTGAGTGCCAGGTGGGACCACGGCACACAGGAGCAAAACTCTTCAGCAACAACCAGAGGCTCACCCTGATGACACTGACTGGTACCCCACCTTGGTCTGGTGCCCCAACTCACCTGCTCCACCATCCCACTGTGGCCAATGCTCGCCATGTTCCTCACTCTGCCACCTGCTGCCGAAGCCCCCCAGGTTCTGCGCATGCCCCCTGGTGGTCAGTGCACGTCATAGCAACCAGTGGTTCGGTTGTTCAGTTGTTCCGCCGTTCGGTCTATTTGCATATTAGCCTTTTATTATATAGGATAGTTCTGGAGACTAGAAGTCCGAGATCAAGGTCTTGGCAGGGTTGGTGTTCTCATATTGAGCGACAGATGCTGCAAATTTATTTCCAGGTCTACCAATGAAGTACTTTGGAGAAAACTGTAAACTCTTCCATGACTTAAAAGTATCATCACAGCAGATGAAAGGGAGTCTAATGTGATCAAGGCCTTAATTGCCATTTTTTTCTGGAACTAAACTGTTGTTTTACTTAATCCTCCTCCAAATGCAGTGTTCTGGAAAGTATTGAAATTATCTTTCAATTAAACGGTGACACCCAGCTGGTGTGGCTCAGCGGCTGAGCATCCGCCCATGAACCAGGAGGTCATGGTTGGATTCCCAGTCAGGGCACATGCCTGGGTCGTGGGCTTGATCCCCAGTAGGAGGCGTGCAGGAGGCAGCTGATCAATGATTCTCCCTCATTATTGATGTTTCTTTCTCTCTCTCTTTCTCCCTTCCTCTCTGAAATCAATAAAAATGTATTTTAAAAAATTAAACAGTGACATTTCCTTGTTGTTGTTTCCTTTTAGGTGAAAGAAGAAATGAAAATCCTTACCCGAGATAAAGGTGTGAACTCCTTCAAGATGTTCATGGCCTATAAGGACGTGTACATGGTGAGGGACGCGGAGCTGTACGCGGCCTTCTCTCGGTGCAAGGAAATCGGAGCGATTGCGCAGGTCCACGCGGAGAACGGAGACCTGATCGCGGAGGTAAGAGCTGCATCCCACAGCTTCCACGGCAATGACGGCGGCCGCCACTTACAGTGCAGACATTGGCCCTAAGGAGGTAAACGCATGCGATGCCTTGGAAGACACTAATTTTCTCAGGTTTAGAAACACTCAGTTTTGTTTGAGTCTCTGCTCTGAATTTTACTCAGGTATTATATGCATTTGAGTAAGGATTTTCCTGATCATATTAGATATGATACCTAATATGATATCATATTAGATAGCTATCATATTAGATATCACACATGTGTTATTATAGAAACACAAATAGTTTTCTCTGTGTAGCCCAGCCTTTTTATTTACTTATTTATTCTTTGCAGTAGCTCAGGCTGCTGCTTCGGAATGCCAAAGGGTGGACACCAGCTTAATCTGATGACGTAAGCAGGGTATGAGGTAGCTGTTTAAAGTTTCACTCTTTTCAGAAACTGGTATTAAAAAGTGCTCTGGAGGAATCTAGATGGCATTTATTTCTCACCTCAGTTCATTATTATTGCCTGCAGGGTGCACCGCCTGTAAGATTTAAAGAGCTGTCTTCTGCCCGTTAGATTAGCTGATTGTTCTCTCTCCCCCAGGCTCAGTCTCGTTAAAGTCAGGGAGATGCAGGCCGGGTGGCCAGGTGGCTGCGGGGGGCAATGGGAGGAGAGCGTGAGCTGTAAACTCAAACAGACCAGGTTTTACGCCTGACTCTCCCACTTCCCAGCCGTGGGACACAGGGCAAGCCATTTCCCCACGCACGGTCTAGACTTCCTGCCTTTTTGGTAATGAAGATGTAACAGTTTGGAGGGGGAAATACCTGCTTCAGTATCATTCAGAGTGTGTGTGTGTGTGGCGGGGGGGGGGGATTTCTTCACCTTCTTCCATCTAGTTACCCCACCCCTGCCCTCTGACAGCTGTAAGTCTGTTCCATGTATTCATGCCTGTGGACCTATGAACTCAGAGATCACGATTTGATTCCCAGCCAGAGCATATACCTGGGTTTTGGGATGGATTCCCAGTAGGGGGCATGCAAGAAGCTGCTGGTCAATGACTCTCTCTCATCATTGATGTTTCTCTCTCAGTCTCTCTCCCTTCCTCTATGAAATCAATAAAAACATATTTTTTAAAGTAGAATTAACTACTTAATATAATACCATGAGTCATTTCAACAAGGATCTAACATTGGGGATTAGCATATTTTTGTTTTATTTTGTTTGTTCTAAACCAGCAGTTCTCAACCTGTGGGTCGCGACCCCTTTGGCGGTCGAACGACCCTTTCACAGGGGTCTCCTAAGACCATCGTGCATATCAGATATTTACATTACGATTCATCACAGTAGCAGCATTACAGTTATGAAGTAGCAACGAAAATAATTTGATGGTTGGGTCACAACATGAGGAACTGTATTTAAAGGGCCAGAAGGTTGAGAACCATTGTAACCAATAAGTCTGAAATATAAACACTGCTTTTCAAAGAATGATTAGACCTAATCTCATATCTTTTTCATCTTTTCTATCAAAATAATTTAATTGTCAAATATGTATGTGAAAAGTAGCATATTAGAGAATTAAGTTTATTTTTACCAAATGCACACACACATGTATCACACACACACACACACCTAACAGATCTAAAAGCCTGCCAGTGTATTTCTTTCACAATAACATGACGGCACTTGTTATTAGTAAACCTTCCTTGCCCTTGTGTGTGTTCATGCTGCCTTTTTAGGGAGCAAAGAAGATGCTGGCTTTGGGGATCACAGGCCCCGAGGGCCATGAGCTGTGCCGCCCAGAAGCCGTGGAGGCAGAGGCCACGCTGAGGGCCATCACCATCGCCAGCGCCGTCAACTGCCCCCTGTACATCGTGCACGTGATGAGCAAGTCTGCAGCAAAGGTGATCGCGGATGCCAGGAGAGATGGTAACTCACTATTTCTCCGCATTAGCTAACGCGCGAGGTGAAACGCCTGCGAGCTCTCTTCTGCTTGCGAGAAAGTTGGCGTGAGTTTCCACAACTGCTCTTCCTCCCTAACCTTCCTCCCTGCATGTCTATTTTTGGTCTCCCTTTTGCTCACCTTCATGACTGCTTCTCTCCCTTCAGGTTATTTCTTCATCATCCTTGGAACCTCTAGACCAGCGGTTCTCAACCTGTGGGTCGTGACCCCTTTGGGGGTCAAATGACCCCTTCACAGGGGCCGCCTAAGACCATCGGAAAACACATATATAATTACATATTGTTTTTCTGATTAATCACTATGCTTTAATTATGTTCAATTTGTAACAAGGAAATTGGGGGTCACCACAACATGAGGAACTGTATGAAAGGGTCGTGGCATTAGGAAGGTGGAGAACCACTGCTCTAGACATTTCCTTTAGCCACAAGTCCCACCCTTAACACCACTATTAGCCCATTTTCGAATCTGATGGCTAAATGCAAACTCTCCAGCTAACTTCTGGAAGCGTCTCTGTCTCTTAGGCATCTGCCTCCACTTTTCCTCCCAGTGCCCGAATCGGCTAGTGCAGGGCACGCAGTAGCAGGTCTCAGCAACTATTTTTTGCATTGCATTGATTTGTCTCATAACAAGTTGGGTGTTGGTGCATTGAAATGCTTATCCAAATTGTATTTTTATGGCAATTATGCTACAATTTTAAAACCAAAGTTATTTTTACCCCAAATTGCCTCAGGTCTTTTTGTTTTGTTTTGTTAACCCTCACCTGAGAATATTTTTCCCATTGGTTGTTTTAGAGAGAGTAGAAGGGAGGGAAGGAGGGAGAGAGAGAGAGAAACATCTATGTGAGAGGGACACATAGATTGGTTGCGCCTCCCACATGCTCCCTGACCAGGGCCAGGGATGAACCTGTAACCCAGGTATGTGCCCTTGACTGGAAATCGGACCCATAACCCTTTGGTGCACCGGCCAGCACTCTAACCACGTAGCAACACTGGCCAAGGCAGTCTCAGTTCTGTAGTTCAATTTAATATGTAAATAGTCATCGAACAATAAAAGAGAGAGAAAATCTCCTATTATTGTTAAGAATTAGGTAGAGAAATAATCTCTTTCATTTGCCAGTACTGGTTAAGGAGGGATGGAACCAAATTAGGTGCATTTTACTCAATGGCTTTAAGTTTAGACCCTCCTGAGGCATGCTAGTAGTCGTTTCTATCATTTCACTTTTAGAAACCTGAATAATCAGATACAGCCTTATAAATCATCCTGCCTGTCTGTTTGTTTGAACTGAATCTGGCTGCAGTTTTGTAATATGGATTATAAAAACTATGAAAATAGACACTAAACTGTAAACACACTTTAACAGCTGATAGGTCAATTTTGAAAAGGAAAAGTATTTTAGTAAGCACTGCCTTTATAATTATTCAGTGTATGTAAACATCTGGGGGGGACACCCTATACATTTTTCAAAATTGCAACTTGTTTCATGAAGGTTCAGTAAGGATTTTGTGCCATTGAAATGCATTCTTAAAATGTAATCTATCCTCCTGGTTGGGGGGCTCAGTTGTTTGGAGCATCATCCTGTACACTGAAAGGTTGCGGGTTCGATTACCCATCAGGGCTTGTGGGTTTGACCCCCCAGTAAGGGTGTGTATGGGAAACAAGGGATCGATGCCTCTCTCTCTCTCTCCCTCTCTTTCTCTCTCTCTCACTCTCTCTCCTTCCCCTCTCTCTAAAAAGCAATATATCCTTGGGTGAGGATTTTTAAAAATGTAATCCCTCAATATTTTGTGTTAAGAATTAATTTGATATCACACATACGTTAATAAGGTCTTACTACCAATCATTTCTGGTTGCTCCCCTTCTCCCCCACATATAATGTAATTTCAGTTAGAAGAACACACTTCAAAAAAGAAAATACTGCAGTTTTAAAGTTATAGCCACCAGATGGCACTGTTGCTAACCTTATGAAATGGGTTGTTCTATAATTATTTGCTTTAAGTTGTGTACCATTCCAGCCTGTCAATCAGATCCATAATGTCAGAATATAATTCAAAAAAAACAGTACATTCAGCAGAAATTGCGATCTTAACCCTCCAGCAAGCTGCAATTTTGACAGATCTGTCAGGAAACAGTTTCTTGATCTTGGGTATTTAATTTGCTCTGGGATAGAATTCCATCAGGAGCTGAGTAAAAGTCTAGGGAAGGTTTTAGAATGTAAATCCTAGATAGACAACTCAAGTATGAACATTTATTTTTAATTATTTTAAATGTTATGTTTTAATATGTAAAACACAAAATTATATGTTAAAAATATATCCTCATCAAAGTGATTGTTTTTATTAATTTATTTCTAGCCTATCTTTATAATTTTTCTCTTGATGAAAAAAAGAATATATGTATATTTTTACTTCTCTTTCTTTACTACATAAAAGATAAAATACTATACACAGTGTTCTGTACCATACTTTTTTCCTACTAAAAATATGTCCTAAAAGTCAGCTAATGTTAGATATAGAGACTTCCCACATACTAATTTCTAGGGGCAGAATATGCCACTGTATTTGTTCAGCCAGTCCCTAATGATGGCTCTTTGGGTTGTGTCCAGGCTTTAAGTTGTTACAAATAGGACCACAGTGATGGGCTTATGCATATGCTATTTCATATTTGTGGAAGGTGAATTAGTTTCCTATTGCTGTACTAACTACCACAAACTTAGTGGCTTAAAGCAACACAATCTCATTAGCTGACAGTTCTAGAGGCCAGGAGTCTGGTCTCGCTGGGCCAAAACCAAGGTGTCAGCAGACCTTCTGAGGCTCTAGGGGGAATCCCTTCCCGGCCCTTTTAGCTTGTAGAGACAAAACGGATTCCTCATTTCATGTCCCCTTTCTCTGTCCTCAAAGCCAGCAAGGTGGGTGGGAACACTGCATTGTTCCAATCACCTCTTCTGCCTCTCTCCCCTACTTTAAGGACCCCTGGGTGGCCTTGGATACGCTTGATTAATCCAGGATTATTTCTCTGTCTCAAAGTGCATAATCACATCACAACTGTGAAGTCCCCTTTACATGTAGGATAATGTGTTCACAGGTTATGGGGATTAGGATATGGACATCTCTGGGGTACCATTTTTCTGCCTCCCACAAAATTCTAGAAGTGGGACAGCAGGTTGTAAAAGTAAATGCATATGTGCATTTTGGATGTTGCTAAATTCCTTTCTAAAGGGATTATAAATAGGGAATATTTAAAATGTCACCCCAAATGTTCTAGTTGAGTCAGACTTATCGCAAAAGTATTGGTGAGAATACTCTAATGCACAGTTGTCGAAGAGGTTGCAGATCTCTCAGAGTAAATCATCATGAAAGGTTTCACACCCCTGGCATGTGATCAAACAGGAACGGAAAGGGAGTAGGGGAGGGTTGGACATAAAGAACACCAAATCAGCCCTGGCCGGTTTGGGTCAGTGTTAGAGCATCGGCCCGCATACCGAAGGGTTACAGCTTTGATTCTGGTCAAAGGCACATACCTTGGTTGCAGACTTGACCCTTGGCCGCTGGTTGGGCACATGTGGTGGTAACCAATCGATATGTGTCTCTCACACCGATGTCTCTCTCTCTGTCTCTCCCCTCCCTTCCTGTGTCTTCACATAATGTTTATGTCCAAATTTCCTCTTCTTATAAGGACCCCAGTCATATTGGATTAAGATTGACAATAATGACCTCATTTTAATATAATTACTCTGTAAAGGGCCCTACCTCCAAATACAGTCACATTCTGAGATACTAGGGGGTAGGCCTTTAACATTTAAGTTTTGGCAAGGGACACAGTTCAGTTCAAGTCATGAAGTGACTCCAGGGTCGCAGGAAGATGCTAGACACTTTCCTATACATGAATTTATTTGAGCCTCAGAAAATTGCCACACCAGAGGGACACTGGGATCCCAGTTCATAGATGAGAAAAGTGAGACTAAGAGCAAGGACCCGTCTTGCACAAGGTCACCAACGAACAAGCAGCAACATCAGGGCTTGAACCTAAACCTGTGTGACCTTCTGTGTATTTCCCTTCTCAGTTATCGTCTTCCTTTGTAAATGTGATATTTTAAATCCAAACAAACCCTTCTAGCTAGGAACAGCTATTTTTACAACTGCGTTTGGATTTCTGCTTGGTAGCCAATGCTTCCACTCCTGGCACCTACGCCAGTGTCTCTGCGACTTGATTAAGTGCCGCTCCCAAATCCAGATGAGGTGTAAATGTCTGCTCCATCGCTTTCACCTAATTCGTGGGTTATCTGGTCAGGAGGGAGTTTAGACTGCTTTGACATGTTTCGTTATTTGAAAATCTTTAGAATCCCTCAGAGGGAAAAACTGTAAGTGTGAGATTGCATCCTAAGTGCAGAGTCTTTTTTTGGTTTTGAGCCAAAAGATGGACGAAGGAGAGAGCATGTACAACATAATGGGAAACTTGCCGGGATAGGGGGAAGGGCATTAATGGTGAAGATGTACTATCTCCCAAGAGCTGTTGGAGCCACCTGGTCTCAATGTGATCGGGAGGTACCGGACGGACAGGTACAGCACTTTTCACGACCAACCTGCTAAGAGTCGTAAGTGAAACCGGGAAGTGAAATTGGAAAATTGCTTGGCCACATCCACAAATAGCTTGTGTTCGACTTCAACCTTTAAAAATCCATGTTCTTAGTGTTCTATGCAATAGCCAAGATTGGGAAGCAGCCCAATGCCCATCAGTAAAAGAGTGGATAAAAAAGCTGTGGTACATTTACACAAGGGAATACTACTCAGCCATAAAGAAGAGGAAATATCACCCTTTGCAACAAAATGGATGGACCTGGGTATCGTGCTAAGTGAAATAAGCCAATCAGAGAAGGAAAAACACCATATGATTTCACTTATATGTGGAATCTAACGAACAAAATAAACGAACAAAATAGAAGCAGACTAATACTGTGTTAGAACAGCCTGACAGATGTCAGAGGGTAGAAGGGTTGGGGGGCTGGGTGAAAAGGATGAAGGGATTAAGCAAAAAATAAAAACAAAACAACCAGACACAGCCAACAGTAAGGTGATTAACAGAGGGGAAGGGAGGGAGGAGTGCGGGGAGGTAGAGAGGGCAAAGGGGAATAAATGGTGGTGGAAGGAGACTTGACTTTGGGTGGTGAGTGCACCATGCAGTGTGCAGATAGGTGATGTGTTATGGAGTTGTACAGTTGAAACCTGTATGATTTTATTAACCAACGTCACCCCAATAAATGTAATTTAAACAAACAACAATGAAAAAGAAAACATTTAAAAAAATAAAAATACACGCTCTTTACCAAGAAATGAAAAATGGCACGTTTCCTAGTAACATAGTGCATATACATGACATGCTAGCGGAATGCTAGAGTTCTAATTCTGGTGAACCACTTACTACCCTAGTGTCTTGGGCACTTTAGTTAGTCTTATTGAGCATCAGTTTATTTTCAAACCAGCATGAGAGTTGCCATGAAGGTCAAATGAGATATATGACCTTCAAGCTATATTTGCAAACTATAGAGTGCTATACATATGTTAGCTATCTTTGCTATGACTTTATTTTTAGCCCAAATCTAACAGAACCCCTTCCGAGGAAATTAGCTGTTCTCTGGTTTCACAACAGTCCTGGCAGACTCCTGGTAGATGCTGACACTTTGAGTATTTCCCGAGCGCTATTACAACTGTAGAACTTTTGGAACAGTATTCCCTTATCACCTTGATGGCCCAAATGATTGAACAGAACAAGTGGCCAGGACCCTTCCTCTATGAGGAAGCACCCTGGGGACTCCCGAGTTGGCAATTTACAAAGTGATTGCTGATCAAGTCCCTGAGTTTTTCATTGTCCACGCGCCTGTAAGAAATCCTCTTGGAACAGAGAGATCTCTTCATACCTGCAAATAAAGTAGTGTGTCCATCCTGTAACCTCTCCAGCAAATAGCACATTAGCTCTTAGTTTATATTAAAAACGATTGCTTGTTTCAGACACCAGAAAGAGATGCTAACTAAAGGGTATTTCCCCTTTCCTGGGACTCGGACAGTGACCAACAGGAGGGGGGTGGGATCACCTAAAGTTGGCAATTTACAAAGTGATTGCTGATCATCCATGAGTTTCTCATTGTCCACGCACCTGTAAGAAGTCCTCTCGGAACAGAGAGATCTCTTCATACCTGCAAATAAAATACTGTGTCCATCCTGTAACCTCTCCAGAAAATAGCACGTTAGCTCTTAGTTTAATTTAAAAACGATTGCTTGTTTCAGACACCAGAAAGAGATGCTAACTAAAGGGTATTTCCCCTTTCCTGGGACTCGGACAGTGACCAACAGGAGGGGGGTGGGATCACCTACTGTGTGTGTGTGTGTGTTAGCAGCGGCTAAGTCCCTGGGGGGTAACTTTTATTGACCAAGGTCTGATACTCGGTGACGTAGGAAGTAACGTTCGTTAGGCTCCAATAAGCCTTGCTTTCCTGGTTTTCCATTACTCTTAGGTTAGCTGGAGGACAGTGGCTAGTTTGAGGGAGAAATGATCTGTGAGATAATAGGGTGCTACTTTCCAATTTAAGATGACTCGGGCAGCTGGTGGCCATCCACTGTCAGTGCTCCCTGAGGAAAGCAGTTAATTTCCCGTATACAGCAGGATTTTAACTCAAACCTGGCCTCTGATGAGCTGGAGTGGGCTAACTTGGTAGGCCAACACCTCTTTACTAGGCGCTCTCCTTTATGACTGCTTGGATATGATCAGGTGGGTGCTAGGGAATCTGTTATTCTGACAAATGCTAATCAGAGGTAAGGATTCTGATTTTAAATTCAAATTCCCTTGCACTATTCACTTTTCTGACATTGTGTGCCTTTGATGGCCTCATTTGCATGATTTTTTAAATATGCATTTCTAGCTACAATTTTATCTGTGTTCTTTCACTTAATATGTTTTTAGAGGGAGCTTTTTTCCTTAAGGGTGTGAAAAGGTTACCAATTTACTTGCAGCAGAGAAACTCTGGGGTTGAACTCCATATGACCGGAGGATAATTGTCATGGGGTAGCATAGCATAGCAGTTAGGACCCCTGGAGTCAAAATGCCTGGACCCAAATCCTACCTCCTGCTCTCCATCAATATCAAGTGCATGTAATGTAACTATAGAGAAATCATTTAACCCCATAAACTCTATCCTCATCTTTTAATAGAGATAATAGTATTTCCTATGTAGGGTTTTGAGACGATTCCGTTAGAATGACACATGTGTCAGCTAGCTTTTGCTAGGTTACACTGCAGTAACAAATGAACCTAAAACACTATTGGCTTACAACAACAGCGATTCATTTCTCATTCATACTCATGTCCATCATGGGCTGGCTCTGCCTCTGCTCCCTATTCTCTGCCACCTGAGACACAACTCACGGAGCAGCCTCTGCTGGTCTCACGACAGAGGGGATGGGGATGGCATGACTCACTGTGGTTATTGTGTGTGTTTTTAAAATATATTTCCATTGATTTCAGAGAGGAAGAGAGAGAGAGAGAGAGAGAGGGAGAGAGAGAGAGAGAAACATCAACGATGAGAGAGAATCATTGATTGGCTGCCTCCTGCAGGCCCCCCACTGGGGATCAAGCCCGCAACCTGGGCATGTGCCCTTGACCAGAATCGAGCCTGGGCGCCTTCAGTCCGCAGGCCAATGCTCTATCCACTGAGCCAAACCAGCTAGGGCTCACTGTGGTTTTAACAACCCCTGCTTGGAAGCAGCACATGGCGCTGCCATTCCTATTTAATTGGCCAAAGTCATCCACGTGGCCAAGTCTGAGATCAGTGAGTGGGCACAACCATTGCCATAATATACAATGCACATTGGCTGGGACATGGGAAATGCTCCATAAAAAAGTAGTTTTTATTTTTAAATCCTGCTCCCTAAAGGTTTAGGATTCATATTATCCTTTACGAAGACGGGAGAGACGCATATTGACATGTCTGTCAGTTGGTTTCTTTTAAGAACACGGTAAGGTGCTGAATGCTTCCTTTTAACTTTCCAGGGAAGGTGGTGTATGGAGAACCCATAGCCGCAAGTCTGGGCACAGATGGCACTCACTACTGGAATAAAGAATGGCACCACGCAGCCCACTACGTTATGGGGCCCCCCTTGAGGCCAGACCCTTCAACTCCTGACTACCTCATGAATCTATTGGCTAAGTAATCATTGAGCAGATGACTGTGAAGTGTTTTTGCCAAAATGAGGTGTTTGATGAGTTTCGGGTTTGAGCAGAGATTTTTTTTTTTTTTTTTTTTTTACCATCTGGACCTTCCATTGACTCCCCAGTATTCTGTTCTACTTGACCTGACAGGCTCTGGGACTGTCCTTCATCTGGAGACCAAAGAGCATTGGCCTAATTATGTGATGAAATAGTGACAAAATCTCTCTCCTCGACACAGAGAAATCAGATCATTTTTACTGGAATTTTATTCTCTTCTGGCTTTTTTCCCTCGTCTTTTCTGTCTCTTGTTGCCTCGAGCCAGGTCTCTCCATTAGGCTTTATTTTTATCCTACAGAATATTCTTGACTTTTTTCCTATGGCGATATAACCTGGGAAGCAGATGTACCTGTTGTCCAGGTATAATAGGTTACAATCGAGGGCTGAACCACTCTAGGGGGTGGAAAAGCAAAATTCTCCCTGTGAGTAGGTTATCCTCATGAAAGGTCATCGGAACTATCTTCAGAGACACTACTTTCGGGGACATTATGATGTTTTTGTGAGAATTGCATCATTCATGGCTATCCCGACACTCCCCATTCACAGATCCTCATATCCAAGTTAACAGAGCTTCTCACAACAGACGATAGAAGAGTTCACTTGCCCTTTCCTTTCAGCCTCCTCTCTCCTTCACACTTCTGCATCCCCAAGGTTATTCAGAAGTCAAAGCAGGATTCCTGTCACTGCTGACATCAACATCCTCCACCAATGTCATGTCTCCACTCATCGCAACGTTCCCATTTGGCCAGGGCCTGCCCCAGGGCACCTGCCTCTGCTCATGTGGCTCCCCATGGTACATCTTGTGTAATACCCTCCTCACCAGGAACTTTTACTTTCATTATTGCCAATGATCCTGAAATAATTGTCATCAAGCTCATATAATTATCAATTTCTAGATGAGAAACTGAGCATCGGACACACTTGTAATCACAGAACCCGTAAGTGATGGAACCGAGCTTAGAACATATCATTGTGCTTCCTGTAAGAGTATTCTCCAAAAGTGCCCTCTACAGGAGGGATCGGAGTGGGTGAAATATGTCCTTGAAAAAACTACTCTTGCCGAAACCTGTTTGGCTCAGTGGATAGAGCGTCGGCCTGCGGACTGAAAGGTCCCAGGTTCGATTCCGGTCGGGGGCATGTGCCTGGGTTGCGGGCACATCCCCAGTGGGAGATGTGCAGGAGGCAGCTGATCGATGTTTCTCTCTCATCGATGTTTCTGACTCTCTATCTCTCTCCCTTCTTCTCTGTAAAAAATCAATAAAATATATTTAAAACAAAACAAAACTACTCTTTTCCCACTGCAGTTTTCTGACACTCAGTTGCGAAGGGAGTCAGGAGAGTAGGGAAGGTTGTGGTGGTTTCCTCCTGACCCGTTCTGTCTCCTCACCCCCATCCTCGGGTGGCTTTTCTGTTACAGTGGTGATCTGACCACGACGGGGACTGACAACTGCACGTTCAACACCTGCCAGAAAGCTCTCGGGAAGGATGATTTTACTAAGATTCCCAACGGGGTGAACGGCGTTGAGGACCGGATGTCAATCATATGGGAAAAGGGCGTGGTGAGTTTCACAAGATCCTGCCTGTGTTTGTTTTGTTTTTAAAATATATTTTTATTGATTTCAGAGAGGAAGGAAGAGGGAGAGAGAGAGATAGACACATCGATGAGAGAGAAACATCAATCAGCTGCCCCTTGCACACCCCCTACTGGGGATGTGCCCGCAACCCAGGTACATGCCCTTGGCTGGAATCGAACCTGGGACCTTTCAGTCCACAGGCTGAC